TCTTTAGTCATCAGGAAAATACAAATAAAAACCACAATGAGCCCCAGCCTATTTGGTTCAGTAGATAGAGTGGGCCTGCAGACTGAAGGGTCCCAGGTTCGATTCCTGTCTAGAGCACATGCCTGGGATGCGGGCTCCACCCCATTAGGGGGCTTACAGGAGACAGCCAGTCAATGATACTCCCTCATAGTTGATGTTTCTAACTCTCTCCCTCTCCCTTCTTCTCTGAAATCAATAAAAATATATTTTAAAATAAATAAAATGAGATAACACTTCACATCCACTAAGATGACTTGACTAAAGTGAGTTAATTTAGTGTTTGGGTAACATTGACAAGGATGTGGAGAAATTTTAACCCTCAGACACTTCTTATGGTAATGCAAAATGGTGTAATCACTTTGAAAACCAGTCTGACAGTTCCTTAAATAATTTAATATAGTTACTATATGACCCTGCAATTATATCCCTAAGTACACCAAGAGAAATGAAAACTTATGTCCATAAAAAACTTGTACATGGATGTTTACTGTTGCATTATTCATGACAGTCAAAAGATGGAAATAAATGTCTATCAACCAAGCAATGCATAAAATCTTATATTTCCGCATCATAGAATATATTACAAGACAATGAAAAACTATATAGTACTTAATACATGTCCAACATCAATGATCCTTGAAAACATAATGCTAGCCGAAACCGGTTTGGCTCAGTGGATAGAGCGTCAGCCTGCGGACTGAAAGGTCCCGGGTTCGATTCCGGTCAAGGGCATGTACCTTGGTTGCAGGCACGTCCCCAGTAGGGGATGTGCAAGAGGCAGCTGATCGATGTTTCTCTCTCATCAATGTTTCTAACTATCCCTCTCTCTTTCTCTCTGTGAAAAATCAATAAAATATATTTTTTTTAAAAGAAAACATAATGCTAATTGAAAAAAGTCAAGTCTCAATTCCATATATGTGAAATGTCCAGAATGGACAAATCTATAGAGACTGAACATAGATTACTGGTTGCTTAGGGCAGGTGGGGGAGAGGAATGGGAAGTGATAGCCAAAATGGTAACAGGTTTATTTTTATTGATTAAAATTTTTTAATGTCGACACTATTGCAGATGTCCCTTATTAACCTCCCTTTTCCCACCTCCACTCACCTCTGCTTCCCCCTCCCTTGGCCTTCACCACACTATTGTCCCTATGCATGAGTTATGCATACCTGTTCGTTAGCTAATCCCTTAATCTTTTTTTTTTAATTTTTATTGATTTTTTTACAGAGTGGAAAAGAGAGGAGGAGAGAGTTAGAAACATCAATGAAAGAGAAACACTGATCAGCTGCCTCTTGCGCAACCCCTACCGGAGATGTGCCCGCAACCAAGGTACATGACTGGAATCGAACCTGGGACCCTTCAGTCCGCAGACCAACACTCTGTCCACTGAGCTAAACCAGTTAGGGTTCCCTTCACCTTCTTTATCCAGTTACCTCCAGCCCCTCCCCTCTGGTACTTGCTAGTCTGTTCCATGTATCCCTGCTTCTGGTTTTACTTTGTCAGTTTATTTTGTTCATTACATTCCACATATAAATGAAATCATATAGTTATTTAATGTAATGAAAAATATAAGTTGACTATGGTGACGGTGGCACATATTATTGAATATACTAAAATCTATTATTGAATTGCATACTTTAAATGTATGATATTTAAATTAATCTCAATAAATTTGTTTAAAAAACAAATGTGGTGCATATATACAATGGAATACCATAAGAAAAGATGAAATATTGCCATTTGTGCTGAAACCGGCTTGGCTCAGTGGATAGAACGTCGGCTTGCGAACTGAAAGGTCCCAGGTTCGATTCTGGTCAAAGGCATGTACCAGGGTTGCAGGTACATCCCCAGTGGGGGATGTGCAGGAGGCGGCTGATCGATGATTCTCTCTCATCCATGTTTCTAACTCTCTATCCCTCTCTCTTCCTCTCTATAAAAAAATCAATAAAATATATGAAAAAAGAAAAAGAAAAAGAAATATTGCCATTTGTGACAACATATATAGTTCTTAAGATTATCATGCTAAGCTAAATAAGACAGAAAAAGTAAATACCTTATGATTCCACTCATATGGGATATAAAACTGAAAACAACAAATGAACAAACAAGACAACAAAACTCATAGATCAAACAACAGTATGGTGGTTACCATAGGGGAAGGAGGCTGGGTAAGAGGCAGTAAAGAGTAAAGATGGTCAAATATATGGTGACAGAAGAACATTTGACTTTGGGTGGTAAACACATAATGCTATATATATATATATATATATAGATGATGTATTATAGAATTTATAGAATTTCAGATGTCCTCTATTAACCCCCCATGTAAACCTATATAATCTTTTTAACCAATGCCACCCCAATAAATTTAATTTTAAAAAATGAAGTACATGATCAAGAGTCAAGGACATTTTAAACTTATATGAAAGGTGCTATAGATTTACTCAGTTTTTACCATTTAAACATTCATGAAATGAACCCAAAATTCTATCATTCAAAATTCATGTCCTTTTATTATTAACTAACATCACAGAGAGGCAATTATAAAATAAATCATTATAATTTAAATCTTATCACACAAAATATTTCAATTTTAAGAAAAACTTTTATGTTTAATGTGTTTCCCTTTATTAATAGTGCTCTATTAATTATTAGACAAGTATCATTACAATTCAACAAACACGGTGTGCTTAGTGTCTGCCATAGTCTTAGCTACCCTTCTATCAATACCTGACACACAGAAGACAATAAATGAATGAATGGCCTCAAAGGCTGTCAATTATTAGGACTTAGGTTTCCTCATCTGCAGAATTAGAAGAGCTGGATATGGTATTCTCTCCATAGCAGCACTGTTCAACAGAACTTTCTGCAATGATGGAAATGTTCCATATCTATAGCGGCTATTCAGACTTTAGAATGTGTCAACTGAGAAAGCAAGTTTTTAACTTAATTTAATTTAAACAGACAAATGAAGCTAATTACTACCACACACAGGCTCTAGTGTGAAAAACATTCACAATGCATCCCAATAATCATATTCATGTGGGAGTGTGTGTGTGTATAAACATAAAAAACAAAAGTACATAAAGCAATATGTCCTTTAATATGTATAAGGCAATACTTCCTTTCCTATTCTACTGAATTTCACCTTTAAAAAAGTGCTGATTCAACCCACTAACATTTTATAATAAACACAGCAATAAGGTTTCTTTCCAGCTCTAAAATATTATGCTATATACTAATGATTGTCCTAAAAGTTTGCATTCGACATTTACTTTGTAATCTTATAAATCGCAAGTCACTGAGTAATTTGAATGTGCCTCAATTAGATCAGGTTGTACTTTAAAAGCTTTATAATAGTTCCTTCATCTCCCTGTTAAATGCATTTTTTTTAAAGATGACAAGAGTTGCATGCCTCTGAGAAGTAGAAAGCAAAGGAAACAAATATCTTTCCCTTGTTTTTCACAATGTAAAACATTGTAATCAAAGGAAATGGTAGTGTAGAGGACAGAGTGGAGGAAGTAAGTTATGGGGATAGTTCATGAAAAGAGAATGGTAACATTTTTTGGCCATCACCTCCTCTGAAACACCTACTGACTTCTTTTCTCTTTCATTCTTCCAGGCTGACAAAGTCCTACAAATTTTATCTTAATTTTATTTGGCTTATTAGAGGACTACAGAACAAGAATTGTTGCAAGGAGATTATGTTACAAACTTTCAACAATAAACTATTTTTAAAACCTAAATAAAACGATCTGGACTTGCTTCTCTAGCCTAATCTGCCATTTCCCATCTTGAACTCACTAGTCTAAACCATATGCAGTTCTGCAAAAAGTCCATGTTTTCTCTTACCTTTAGGCCTTTGCACATGCTATTCCTTCTTTAACGAGCTAACTTCTCCTAATGTTTCAGGTCTTTGTTTTGTATCCATCACTGAAGGCAATTTTCCCCACCTCAAGATCAGACTTGATGCCCCTCGTGTATATCTTCCAGTACTTTGGACCTTTCCCATCATTGCACTATTGTATTATAATTGCCTGTTTACTTAATCTATTCCCCTTATTAGATTGTTAAACTTTACGTACAGGGTCTATATTTTCTGTTCACTGCTGATGAAGAATCAGAATTTAAAGAGGTTATTTCTCATACAAAGCTGATAATATTTTAGTAATACTGATGAACGGGTGGTGGCATTATGTTTGGTCAATATATAAGAAATAAAAAGACAGACTGAATTAAGTAGAGCAAGTGCAAAAATTTTAAAACCCTGCTCTTGACAGGTAATAATGTACACAAATATTAAGAGGCACTATAACCATAGCTACATTCAGTAGTTAAAGATAAGTAGCTTTATATGGCTTCCAAAGCGACCTGTGTACACAGAAGAGCACTATTTTCGATTCAAAGGACAATCATGCTTACATATAAATTTAGGACGGTCTGTGTTTTGGAGAAAAAGATAATTACGGTTTGGGCTTATCAAGGAGCCCTGCCAGCAAGGGGAATAACTGGTGCCAACTCAATTTGCCGCTTGTTTATTGCTAGTTTGCCATCGTCTTGAGTACTCTCCAGATGCTACTTCTGACTAAAATCAGAACCATTGGCAAATTGGTCCCAAATTCCATTACTAACTTTGGAAAGTAGTCAGTTTTCCTTGCATTTACCAAGGTAAGCAGTATGGGAATGGTGTCCACTCTGAGAGAACACTATAGATCATACGCGAGTTACGGGTGTTCGGGGTGACCTCTGTCCGGAACCGCCCGTCCCATTCCTATTTGCTGTACCCCTTTATCCCTTTCCCAAATTACTAACCCTAATTTACTTCACTTACTGCTACTCCGAGATAGCCCTGACAGCCTTTCTTCTTGGCTCCTTCTCTGATCCGAGGTTAAGAGGGCAACATTTCCCCCATGGGTCCCCTTGCCCTTCACCCTACTTTTCCAAGTGAAAGGCATCTCACCTGGGAATTTGGAGCGGTTCCTGGGACGCCGAGCTGACGTGACCCCCATTGCGGACCTGATCCGCGCACAGACACTAGAGGCCGAATCAGAATCGCGAGGCGCAAACGCTTTTCGAAAGCAGCCGCCGCGGCAGCCCAGCGCCAGGAATGTATCGCGAGCAGCGCCATCTTGAGCGAGGAAAGAGGAACCGAGAGCAGAGGATTGTGGGACACTGAAGGACTGAACTTGGCGGTCTCAGTCCTTTCTTCCCCTCCCCCCTCGTTTTCCCAGGGCCCACGACCGGAAGTAGCTTCTCTGAGGGTTTTTCTTACACAACCGGGAACGTTCTCTGTGTTTTTTTTTTTTTTTTTTTTTCTCTTTCCCTAGATTTGCTAGGTAAAAAATATGCAGGATGCGCATTAAATTTGAGTTTCAGATAAACAATGTGTCATTTTTTCAATTTTTAATTTTATTTTTTAACTTATCTTTATTGTTGAAAGCATTACAGATATCCCCTTCGTTTGTGTTTTTGTTTTTTTGTTTTTTTTTTTCCGTTGATTCCCCTCCACAACGCACCTACCCTTCCCAGGTCTTCACCACACTGTAGGCTATGCATACGTGCATATAAATTCCCTGGTTAATCTCTCCCTAACCACCCACCCCACCCCTGCCTTCTCTTGAAGTTCTTCAGTCTGTTTCATGCTTCTATGTTTCTGGATCTATTTTGTTCCATTTGCAAAATACAGATATATCTCAAATATTAAATTTGCTAAGTCTAGCAACCTCATCTTCATCATTTTACTCTCCTCTTACCGCCTCCAACTCAGTGCCACACTCCACTCTGCATTTTCCCTTTGCATATTTTGATCTTCACTCTCCTGTACACTAACACTTGGATTAGATTAAACTACAAATATTCATTTCCCCCAGGGAAGGGGCTTCATCCTAGAGATTCACAGCCTCTCCATATTGTAAGTGCTTTTACTTGGCTGATTGTGCCAACCTGGTGGCGGTTATCCACTGGTCTGTTGCTTTTGGGACAGTTTTACATACAGCTTTACTCCACTGCTTTGCCTCTCTAGCTCTTCCCTTTGTTTTCTGCAGCGTCCTTAATTATTTCAAAACAGCTAGATTAGCTGAGAGATAGTAAAATGTAAATGTATATAAAATTAATGTTTAAAGACAGGGTTACATTCTTTTTTTGGGGGGGGAGGGTAATCCTCATCTGAGGATTTTTTTTTTCTATTCATTTTTAGGGAGAGTGAAAGAGAGAGAGAAAGAAAAACATCAATGTGAGAGAACGCCTAAACCAGTATCGAACCCAGGACCCTTTGGTCCACAAGTCGATGCTCTACTCACTGAGCAAAAACCAGCTAGGGTGACAGGGTTATATTTTTTTGACACCACTGTCATCAAACAAAATGATGTTGAAATATGTTTACAGTTATTTGGGAAACTGCATTTCCAAGTGTAAATGTTACTTGAAATCGTGGAGACAATAATGCAATTGCAATTTTATATTCATTGCTGCTTTCTCAAACCTGTCAGACAGTACAAGCAAATAATTATGAACTTCTTATGTAGACACACCCTGATGAAGACAAACACTTTGCCTGGCCCAGGAAGTTAGCTTTACTTTATTTCAAGATTCATATTATACTTCAGGTTTCCAGGTAAGATGATGTTTGAGCAGAATTATTTAAATAAAAATAAATTTTCCAGTGGAAGGGAATTCCGTATAAATGAAATGGCTTGCCAAAAAAAAAAAGGCATAAAACTTTTCCAGGTTTAGGAGTTTAGGGAGAATATGGCAGAGTAGTAGGAGATCAGCCTGGGTGAGCAAGTGAACTAATGGTGAGAAGGCCTCTAAGAAGTTAGTCATTGAACATATAGACAGTGAAGGGTTTTAATCAGGAGAGTAACATGATCAAATTTGCATAGCCATTAAACCGCTCTAGCTTAAGTGGGAAGGCTGGACTGGAGGGAATTCAGACTAGAGTCAGGTCCTTAAATTCAGTCATAAAATAAAGACTAACCTGGCAGTAACAGTGGTAGTAGTTCAATTCCCAAGATATTATGGATCTGGAATTGAAAGGATTTAACGACTAATTGTGGCTTATTATTATCTTGTTAATAGAGCAGTAATGGCCTCTTTTATTAATGCCTATATCATCAGTATATTCAGCATCTGTTCTGTTAGAGAGCAACACTCTGCACTAGAGAAATGCTAGATTCTTCCCAGTGATTTTGGTTAGGGCTGAATATTGCCACTGAATCTTTCTACCCAGGTAAGGCATTGTCCGGTAATGCTCTGACTTTTTTAAAAAAAAATGTAGAAACGTATACCATCTATATCTTTTGAGAAATTGTCAGATATAATGTGACAACATGAAATCTTTCATTTGTATACTTTTAGAAACTCTCATAAACATTATCTTGCAGGATCTTAACAACAGGATTATTAGGGTCATTTCTCATTTCTAATAGATAAAGAAGACCAGGGCCATGGGGTGATACAGTTGGAAAGAGAACCCTGGTATTCTGGCTTCTCTTCCACTGTTCTTTACACTAAAGATGTTGCCTACATTCAAATGTAAATTTTAATTGAAAGACTATAGAAGCTGTTAGATCTGATAAAAAAATTGAATCAATACCCCCATCCCTGGGAACTGGCCTTTAGGCCACCTCACATTGGACTTTTCACTTCCTTAGACCACATTCCACTTGCTAACACCACTATGTCTCCCCTCTGGAGTTTCCCAGAATCTGGACCTGCACAGACAATTCTCCACCCAGAAAAAGCCCACCTAGAGTCCTTTAAAAACTTCTGATTCCCACCAAAACCGGTTTGGCTCAGTGAATAGAGCATCTGCCTGCAGAATGAAAGGTCCCAGGTTCGATTCCAGTCAAGGGCATGTACATTGGTTGCGGGCACATCCCCAGTGGGAGGTGTGCAGGAGGCAGCTGGTCGATGTTTCTCTCTCATCGACATTTCTAGCTCTTTATCCCTCTCTCTTCCTCTCTGTAAAAATTCAATAAAATATATATTTTTAAAAAACAACAACAAAAAAAACCCTTCTGATTCCCATCTTTGGGTGCTGGTACCATTTTGGGGCTCAGCCCATCTCGTATCCAGGTGACCCAATAAATTCATAATTCTTTACCTCTTTGGGCCTCATGCATTTCTCCTTTGGCAACCCTAACATTTGGTTCCGAAACCTGAGGGGGTTCCATGGCGATGGGGACCCATCACACCAGCTTCTGTCAACCCGAGTTTGCTACTTGGAGAGGAGTAGGCAGTAGCAGCTTGACCTGGGCTTAACTTCCAATCCTACTCAGGCAACTTGATTGCCGGCCTCAATTAGGCCTTCCTCCCTTATGGACCCTCTCAAAACAGCCAAGGAGGACACTGGATCAGAAATCTCTCCTTCTCCATTGCTGAATCTCTATCCCACACCAGCCAATCTTCTCTAAGTGAGTGACTTTCCACAATTTCCCTCGTTTCAAGTCTCTGCCCACTCTTTCTCTCTCTCACTGATTTCTCAAAAGTCTCTAATCCCAAAAGTTCTAGTGCTAAGCCAGAAGACTTCTTAGCCGTTTGGTTTTGGGTCCTTCTAGATTGGGGACAGCCAGTCCAGAGAGTCACCTTTCCTTTCTCGTGGTGATTTGTTTAGCATCAGGGACACCTCACCTTTGAATTTATGGTTGTCACTCACCCTTCCTCTCTCATGGGCCACACCACACTCCCTCTACACACTGGTGGGGGAGATCATGCCCAACCACTACATTTTATTTTGTAACACTGTTTGGCCACAATATAAAGTAGATAATAAGTCTCAATAGCCTGAAAATGATACTTTTAATTTCAGCACATTGCACAATTTAGATAATTGTTGTCACTGCAATGGAAGATGGTCAGAGATTCCCTATGTCCAGGTCTTTTTCACCTTCAATCCTAATCCTCTCTCAGTCTTGTTCTACCAATTAGATCTTTCACCTGCACACAAAACATCATACCCCTAACACTTCTGATTCTGAAGCTACTTTTAACCCAGAAGACCACTAACCCAACCTCCACCTCCTTGCACATCTCCTCCCTCACCTGCAGTAGATTACAAAAACCCAGACCTTCCTAACCAGCAACCACCTTCTCCCCAGCCCCTGAGAGCTCAAATCCCAAGAATACATGCTCCAAAACAACCTTTTCCAACCTAACACTCATTCTCGGGCCACCCAAAGACCACCTTCCTCAACAGCCTCATCTAGTCCTGTACCCATTCTACAGCTGAGGGAGGTAGCAGGAACTGGGTATTGTGGTCAATTATGACAAACTTACTGAAGTCACTCAAGACCCTGATGAAAACCCAGCTCTTTCTCTTCCTCCTCATGGAGGCCTTACAGAAATTTACCTTCTTAGACCCCACCTTCGCAGAGGAGCCCTTCTTCTGAACACCCATTTTATATCCTAACTAGTAACCCTACACACAAATGCATGTGCCAGTAGCTCGCCAGTAGCTCGTTGCTGCCCTCTAGTAGCTCTCTGCCTGCTGCGCTGCCCTCCTGAAGCTTCCTGTCTCCTTCCCCCACTCCACCTCAGAGCTTGCTGTCCTGTCCCCTCTTGTAGCCCTCTGCCTGCTGCCCTGCCCTCCTATAACTCCCTCCACCCCCCTACCCCTTCATAGCTTGCTGCCCTGCCACCTTCTGTGGCTCTCCACCGACCACTTGTAGCTCGCTGTCCCACCCTCCTGCTGATCCATGATCCGATCATTACACAGTCGGTCCTTACACTTCACGGCATAACGACCACTTGCATATTATATCTTTATTATATAGGATCAGCCCCCGACAGATGCCACAAACTTCAAAAAATAGACACAGATCCACAAACCCCTCAAAAAGACTGTGTTAACCGGACCTTTGAGGTCTTTAATAATAGAGATAAGGAGAACCAAATCCAAAAACAAAGGCAAGATCAGGCCAAGGCTGAGGCTAAGAAGAAGGCCTTTCAGCTCCTAGCCACCACTCTCACAAACTCCAAATGAAGTGTCGGTCCTCCAACCAAGGGTAAGTCAGGGGCTAAGCCTCTTTGGGGCCCATACTTCAAATGCAACAGGAAGACATGGTCCAAGTCCAGTCCAAATTCAAGACCCTCACCTGGGCCCTGACCAAGAAGGCCACTGGAAATCAG